TGATCTTGTCTAACAATGAATGATTTTATCTCCCAATGACTGACCTTAACGTTGGTAGATCTGGTCTAGAATGATTTTATCTCCCAACAATTGAATGATTTTATTCTCCCCCATCTCCGGGGGGGGCGGGGCCCCCGGGGGCCCTTTTTAAATTTTGGCCGTGAGGGGTTAAATAAAAAAGTCCCCAAGGGGTTGGGCCCATAAAACCCCCTTAAAACCCAAATCTTCTTTTTGGTTTTTCCCCGGGCCCTTTTTTGGGTTTTTTTTTCCGGTTTTTTTTCTTTGTTGTAGGGCTTTTGGGAGGTGGCTTTTCTTTGGGTTTTTCCTTTCCCCTTTAAAGGGTTGCCCAAAAACCATTTCATTTCTTTGTTCCCAAAAAATTTTAACGTGGGTAGGGTTTTTCCAAATATTTTCTTTTTTAATTTTCAAAAATGGGTTTTTCCCCCAAATGGGTTTCTTTTTTTCGGGTTTTTAAATTTTTCCCCGGGGCCATTCTAAAAAAACACCCTCTTTTCCAACGGGGTGGTTGGGTTTTTTTTCTCTCGGGGCCTTTTGTTAATTTTTCCAATTTCGGGGGACATTGAAAACCTTTTAATGCCCCGGTTATAAAGAGGGTTTTTATAAATTTGTTTTTTTTTACCCTTAAAAAGCGGGGGGAGGGGGCAGGGTTTTTTTTAAAAAAGGGGGGGGGGGAAAAGCTGGTATGGGGGAAAATTTTTGGGGGTTTGGGGGGATTTTTTCCCTTTGCTCTTCTCTGTTTTTTTTTTTTTCCCTTTTAAATTTTTTCCCAAAAGTTTTAAAATTTTGGCACTTTTTTTTGGGGGCTGGGGTTTAAAAAATTTTTAATGTCGAGGGTTTTCTTTTTTTTCTCTTTTTACTTTTTTCCCTTTGACTTCTTTTTTCCTTTTTCAGTTTGATTTTTCCCACAGGGGAGGGCCTTGAGGCAACTTTTCAAAAAACAAAAAATGGCCAAAAATTACAAAAACTGGATAATTGGGGGGCTTTATTTTAAAAAAATGGGGGGGAAAAAAAATAGGGATTGGGTTTTAAAATAAATGAAAAAGGGTAAAAAAAAATTTTTAAAGGGAATTTAAAGGGCTGTGTTAAAAATTTTTTGTTTCCCCCCCGGGGGAAAACCTAAAAAAAGGGGGACAAATCTATTGTTTGAAAAAGGGTTTCAAGGGATTTGGGGGCCCCTGGGTTGTTTAACCCGGAGCAAAAATTTAAATTGCAGTGACAAAAATCGGGTTTTTTTCCCCCTTAAGGGGTCGGGGAAATGTTAAAAAAGGGGGAGGGGGAAAAGGTTTGGGGACGGGGGCCAAAAATTTACAAAAAGGGGGCCAAAACCCCGGGGTGTTCAAAAAAAAGCGACCCCGCTGGGGGCCCCCCTTTACCCCCGGTTTTTTTAATTTTTTGCATTTTTTTACATTTTTTTTTCAAAAGGGGTTTAAGTTTGGGGAATTGGGTTTACGTGTTTTCCAAAAGGGCTTTGAAAGGGGCCGTCCCTTCGGGGCGTTTGGGGGCCCACGGGCCTTTTAAAACCCCTTTTTGTTAAAAGTTGGTTAGTTTTTTCTTGGGAGGGGGGGGGAAAAAGGACATTTAAGTAGCTCCCAAAAAGGGGCCCCCTTGGGAAAAAGCATCCGGGGTAAAAAAACCTTGGCCAACCTCCTGGGTGGTGACAGGGGCCGGGAAAATTAAAAAGGCCGTGAGGTTTTGGGGGGCAAATTTGAGAAAGGGGGTTTTCGTCGGGGAAAGGGGGACCAGGCCCCCAAACCCCGGGGGCCCAGGTTTTTTTCCCTGTTTTCCAAAAAAAAAAACCGCAAAGGGGGGGGCCCTGGGCAAGCCGGCAGGGGGTTGAAATAGGGACTGTTTAACTACTTAAAAAAACCTTTTTAAATTTTGATTATGGGGACAGCCCTTCTTTCCCCGAAAATTGGGGAAAAACCGGGGGGAAAAAACTTTAAAAAAAAGGGAAAAAACGAGTTTTGGGGAACAGCTTTTAAGGGGGGGTTTTACCGGGGAAAACATCAGGGGAAAATGGGGGGGGGGAAAAAGGGGGGGCCCTAAAAAGGGGTGGGAATTTGAGGGATTTAAAAAAAAATTCCTAGACCCTTAATAAAGAAAAACTATTTCTAAAAAACCATTGGGGGGCCCCTAATGGAAAAAATCACAGGGGGGGAAGGGGGGGGAAAAAAAGGGGGGAAATAAAAAAAAAAAAAAATTACAAAAGGGGAAAAAAGAAAAAAACTCTCAAGGGGCCCCAAAACCCATTTTTTTTTTTATTGGGGGGAAAGGGGGATTTTACAAAAATTTTTTTTGGGTTTGGATGTTTTACTTTTTTTTTTTTAGGGCAAAAAAAATTTTTTTTAATTTTTTTTTTTTAAAGGGGAAAAAATTTTTTAAACAATTTTTTTTTTTTTAAAATTTTTTTTAAATTTTAAACCAAGCGGGGGATTTTTTTTTTTTTTAAATTTTTTGGGTTTTTTTTTTTCCAAGGCTTTTTTTTTTGGGGGGGGAAAAACCAAAAAAATTTTAAATTTTTTTTTTTTTTTTTCCTTTTTTTTTTTTTTTTTTTCAGGGGGTTTTTTTTTGGTTTTTTTTTTTTTTTTTTTTTTTAAAAAGCAGGAAAGGGTTTTTTTTTGGAAAAAAAAAGGGACCCCAAGGGTCGGGAAAAATTTTTTGGGTTTTTCTAGGGGGAACGAAGGATATTTCGGGGTTTTAAAAGGGCCCCCAAGCGTTTTAAAGGAGAAAACACTGGGCCCCTTTGCCCGGGGAAAAAAAATTTTCAAATAAAGAAAGTTTTTATTGATGGGCCACCCAAGGAAAGGAATTTTGGGGTTTGGGAAAGGAAAAACCCCCCCGGGGAAAAAAAAAAAAATGGGGAAAGTATAGTTCCCCTCCCCCCGGGAACCCCCTAAAACCTGTCCCCTTTCCCAGAGGGCCCGGTCTGCCCCCTTTTCCATAAAAAACAAGTCCCCACTAAAAAACATGGCCCAACTAGGCCCCCCCCCGGGGAAACTGTGTTTTACAAGTCTTTTTTCGGGCAGCCCCATAGCTTTTCTGCTGGGGGTTAGTTTTCAATTTAGGTTTTTTTTGTTTCCCCCAAAATTTAAGTTTTGCATTCCCCCCTTTTAAGGTTTTTAGGGAAAAAAATTCAGGTTTTGAAAGGGTCCCGAAAATTTTGGGGAAAATCCCCATTTTTTTCGATTAAAATGGGGGGCAGGGTTGGGGAAAAATTGTTTTTTAAAAAATTTTTTACAGCTTTTATTTTTGTAAAGTTTTTTTGTTTTTTTAAAGCAAAAAAAAAGGGGTAGTTTTTGTTTTAAAAATTTCCTTTTGGGGGCAAAGGGGTTTTTAAATTTGGGCTGGAAATTTTTTTAAAGTTGCTTTTAATTTTGGGGTTTTCCATTGTCTGCGGGGGAAAAATTCCCCCTTTCCCAAGGGCCTTGGGCGGGCGGGGAAAACTGCGGGGGTTTCTCTTTCCGGCAAGACCCTCCCCCCTTCTTTTTTCCTCCCCCCCGAAAATTATAAAAAAAATTTTTTAATTTTAGCCAGAAATTTTTTTTCCAGTTCCAAATTTACAAGGGGATTATTTTTGCCACCTTTAATTTTGGTTTAAAAATTAAATTCCTTTATTGCATTTTTTCTTTCCCGGGTTTTTAAAATCGGGAAAAATTAAGAAAATCTAGGGCCTTTTTCAGGGGGGCTTTTTGACAAAAAGGGGCTTTCCCAAAAAAATGATCTCCCTTCCCTTCCCGGTTTTCTGCCGTTTTCCCCCCCTTTTTATCCCATTTTAAATTTTTTACACCCTTAAATTTCCCCCCTTTGGTATTACCCTTTTCCCCAGGTTTTTCCTTGGGGGTCGCCCCCAGGGGGTTCTCCCCCTATTTTGTTTGGGCCAAAACCCGGGGAGCTTTTTTTTGTCAGGGGGTTCCCCAAGGGGCATTCTGCAAATGTCCAAAAACCCTTCTCCTAAATTTTTTACTTGATAACATTTGAAGTTTTTGCAAAAATTCTATTTTTTTAACCCTTCAGTTTCTTCATTTGGGGGAATTTTTGTTTGGGGGCCCCAAAAATATTCGTGGGAACTCCTTAAAACATTTTTTTTAAAAAAAAAGGGCCCCAAAGGGTTTTGTGTAATTTTTTTCCTGCCTGTTTTTTTTAAACCATTCCTTTTTGGTAAAAAAGTTTTTAATAAGAAAAAATATGTGTAGAAGGGATGTTTTTAGGGTTTGGCCCATGTATATGTCCCCGATAGGGTAAGTAGGGGGAGGTATATGCGGCTTTTTTTAGGGGTTTATGTTTTTGGGTGAATGTATGGTTTTTGTACAGGGGTTTTAATTGTGCCCCTTTTTCCCCCTTTAAAAATGTATGTTGTGGGTTGTTTTGTAGGGGTTTTAGGGGGTTTGTGTTTTTGGTTAGGGGAAATTTTGGGGGGGCTGTTGTTATGAGGGGGAGATTCATGTTGTATATGTTTTTTGGAATATGGGGTTTTTTTGTTTTTGGGTGTGTTTTGGTGGGTTGTGTCTGTTTTGTGTTTTGACTGCCCCGGTGAAACATGTGGGGGAATTTGGTATTTTGGCCCGGGGTGGAAATCCATTTTAGGGTTAGGGTTTCTTTTGGAGATTCTTTTAGATGTTCTTATCCTGACTTCCTCTAGCTACTTCTTATTACTATTCTCCTGGGTTATTTCTTGTTTGTTTTGTTTCAGTCCTGTCTGCTGAGGCAAGTTGATCTGGTGTGCCTGGTCTTGTGGCATCTGGGACATTTCCACATTGGTGGTAGGTGTTGCTCAAGTCTCTGAGTCTGCCGGGCAGTCATCCCCTCTGTCTGGTGCCCACAGCCATCGTCACTGCCTTGTTACTGGAACCGAGTCGTTCAACCTTGGGGATTTTGAGTGTCGATTTTCTTTCTTCAGCAATCTTGTAATTTCTGGTCGATCAACTGTAACTTGCAAAGGAGCACTTTTATTTCACAGACTGACACTTCCTGCCGGAACTATGTCTGTGGTCAACACCGTCCTACTGTTGGTCATCTTTTCTGTGGGACAGACGTTGTCGGAATATATCCTCACAGCAAACCCTTCCCAAGTGGAATTTGGCATCACGGAGCAGCTGACACTAGACTGCAGGTTCCGAGGCGGCTCCAGTAGTTTGCAGAGCGACATAATTGCCCAAGTAAGGATCCTCAAAGAGATGGAACCAGACAACTTTACGATAGTGGCCGAGGTCAAGGACTCTGCCCCAGAGCTTGTCAACGTGGGCCTAGGGCCAAGTGCAAATATCTCAGGTCTTGTGGCTGATGTGGCATCCTCGTATTTATCCATTCACTGGAAGCAGGCCACGCCCGACATTCTTGGCAGGTATCGCTGTGACGTTGTGGGCTTCAAGGCCAACCAAGACCCCTACATCGATAGAACCGCTGTGCTTGTTTTGAAACAAAGCAACCTAACGGTGGAGAATGTTGTGGATTTCATTGTTCGTCAGAAAGCTGAGCTGGAGACGAAGCTGCAGGATCAGAAAGTCTATTGTGATAATAAACTGGCTGTGGTTGAGTCTAGCATCCATCAAATACTGGAAGCCATTAGGATGGACCAGGAGAACTCCAGTCAGCAGTTCCAGCAACATTTGTTGGAGCTGACAGCCGTGCTTGAGGTGGATGTCGCCCGACTTATGGAAACCGGTGTGCTCCAGTACTGGCCACAAGGAACCTATGCCCTGCTGATGCCCGATTCTGACTGCCCTAACAACGCGGGGGCGGTGTGGCAGACTGGCATCGTTGTCTTTCACACGGAGTCGACAGATCGCAACTACGACGAAGTTTCTACGCCGTCACATCTCGCGCCGCCAGCACTACAGCGAAATGGTTTCAACAATTTCATCACACAACAGTTTTGCGTCTCCAGTGATCTGTCTCCGGGAGCCGACTGGCCGAGAGGTGCCTACTGCATCAACCGCGTGGGCAACGTGTGCCCTAGTGGCTTTGGTTCTGGCTACATCAGCTGGCAAAATGAGGTCACGGGATCCCAATCGTCGAGCAGCGGCAAGCTGCCGGACGGCGTCTACACACTCAACGAGACCATCATTGACTACTGCTGCAGGAACGATGGAGACCACCAGGAACCCATCTATCTGCCTAGAGCTCGTCCCTTCTACCTGTACCGGTACAACGGCACCTGCCAACAGGTGGTCGGGATGCAGGCTTCGCCCGAGTTCGTCACCTTCGATACGGACAATTCCAATCAGGACGCCTATGAGAACCAGTTTCACCCAGACGGTGCAATCAATAATGTCCATATTGAGCTCTGCTACTATACACAAACATAAGGACGATAAGGAACTTGATGATGATGACAGCTGACACTGACGTTAACGTGTATATGTAATCAGACTCCATTTTCCTTTAAGCTGGGGTAGGGGTCATAATTGTAACTAAGTCATAGGGGATATTGTGAAAAGGGAACACAGGCATGCTCTGAGTAGAATGGCAATCATTGCGTCATTCAACAGAGACTGTCCAGTCTGTAGGTGCACCCCTGAGAGATCAGCAGAGACTTGTCTAGTCTGTAGGTGCACCAGTGAGAGATCAAAAGAGACTTGTCTAGTCTGTAGGTGCACCCCTGAGAGATCATCAGAGACTGTCTAGTCTATAGGTGCACCAGAGAGAGATCAGCAGAGACTGTCTAGTCTGTAGGTGCACCCCTGAGAGATCAGCAGAGACTGTCTAGTCTGTAGGTGCACCCCTGAGAGAGATCAGCAGAGACTGTCTAGTCTATAGGTGCACCAGAGAGAGATCAGCAGAGACTGTCTAGTCTGTAGGTGCACCAGTGAGAGATCAGCAGAGACTGTCTAGTCTGTAGGTGCACCCCTGAGAGATCAGCAGAGACTGTCTAGTCTATAGGTGCACCAGAGAGAGATCAGCAGAGACTGTCTAGTCTGTAAGTGCACCCCTGAGAGAGATCAGCAGAGACTGTCTAGTCTATAGGTGCGCCAGAGAGAGATCAGCAGAGACTGTCTAGTCTATAGGTGCACCAGAGAGAGAGATTAGCAGAGACTGTCTAGTCTGTAGGTGCACCAGAGAGAGATCAGCAGAGACTGTCTAGTCTGAAGGTGCACCCCTGAGAGATCAGCAGAGACTGTCTAGTCTGTAGGTGCACCAGTGAGAGATCAGCAGAGACTGTCTAGTCTGTAGGTGCACCAGTGAGAGATCAGCAGAGACTTGTCTAGTCTGTAGGTGCACCCCTGAGAGATCAGCAGAGACTGTCTAGTCTATAGGAGCACCAGAGAGAGATCAGCAGAGACTGTCTAGTCTGTAGGTGCACCCCTGAGAGATCAGCAGAGACTGTCTAGTCTATAGGTGCACCAGAGAGAGAGAGAGATCAGCAGAGACTGTCTAGTCTATAGGTGCACCAGAGAGAGATCATCAGAGACTGTCTAGTCTGTAGGTGCACCAGAGAGAGATCAGCAGAGACTGTCTAGTCTGTAGGTGCACCAGAGAACAGAGGTGCACCAGTGGAGATCAGCAGAGACTGTCTAGTCACCCCTGTAGGTTGTCTAGTCACACCAGTGAGAGATCAGCAGAGACTGTCTAGTCTGTAGGTGCACCAGTAAGAGATCAGCAGAGACTGTCTAGTCTGTAGGTGCACCAGTGAGAGATCAGCAGAGACTGTCTAGTCTGTAGGTGCACCAGTAAGAGATCAGCAGAGACTGTCTAGTCTGTAAGGATCAGCAGGGACAGCTGGTAGAGATCAGCAGACTGTACCAGCCTGTAGGTGCCACCAGTGAGAGATCAGCAGAGACTGTCCTAGTCTGTAGGTGCAACCACTCACACACTAGTAATGTTGTCATCCTCACCGTGACACTCATACAGACTGTAAGAACTGTCTAGTCTGTATGTGCACCAGTGACTCCACACAGATAGTAGAGGTTGTATTTCTCACCTGTGACACTCACACACTAGTAATGTTGTCATCTCACCTGTGACACTCACTAGATCAGTATGTGTTGTCAGCTCACCTGTGACACTCACACACTAGTAAACTGTCATCTCACCTGTTGACACTCACACACTAGTAATGTTGTCATCTCACCTGTGACACTCACACACTAGTAATGTTGTCATCTCACACCTGTGACACTCACACACTAGTAATGTTGTCATCTCACCTGTGACACTCACACACTGTAATGTTGTCATCTCACCTCACACTCACACACTAGTAATGTTGTCATCTCACCTGTGACACTCACACACTAGTAATGTTGTCATCTCACCTGTGACACTCACACACTAGTAATGTTGTCATCTCACCTGTGACACTCACACACTAGTAATGTTGTCATCTCACCTGTGACACTCACACACTAGTAATGTTGTCATCTCACCTGTGACACTCACACACTAGTAATGTTGTCATCTCACCTGTGACACTCACACACTAGTAATGTTGTCATCTCACCTGTGACACTCACACACTAGTAATGTTGTCATCTCACCTGTGACACTCACACACTAGTAATGTTGTCATCTCACCTGTGACACTCACACACACTAGTAATGTTGTCATCTCACCTGTGACACTCACACACTAGTAATGTTGTCATCTCACCTGTGACACTCACACACTAGTAATGTTGTCATCTCACCTGTGACACTCACACACTAGTAATGTTGTCATCTCACCTGTGACACTCACACACTAGTAATGTTGTCATCTCACCTGTGACACTCACACACTAGTAATGTTATCTCACCTGTGACACTCCTAGTAATGTTGTCACTCACCTGTGACACACAGTAATGTTGTCATCATCTCACCTGTGACACTCACACACTAGTAATGTTGTCATCTCACCTGTGACACTCACACACTAGTAATGTTGTCATCTCACCTCACTCACACTAGTAATGTTGTCACTCACCTGTGACACTCACACACTAGTAATGTTGTCATCTCACCTGTGACACTCACCTAATGTTGTCACTCACCTGTGACACTCACACACTAGTAATGTTGTCATCTCACCTGTGACACTCACACACTAGTAATGTTGTCATCTCACCTGTGACACTCACACACTAGTAATGTTGTCATCTCACCTGTGACACTCACACACACTAGTAATGTTGTCATCTCACCTGTGACACTCACACACTAGTAATGTTGTCATCTCACCTGTGACACTCACACACTAGTAATGTTGTCATCTCACCTGTGACACTCACACACTAGTAATGTTGTCATCTCACCTGTGACACTCACACACTAGTAATGTTGTCATCTCACCTGTGACACTCACACACTAGTAATGTTGTCATCTCACCTGTGACACTCACACACTAGTAATGTTGTCATCTCACCTGTGACACTCACACACTAGTAATGTTGTCATCTCACCTGTGACACTCACACACTAGTAATGTTGTCATCTCACCTGTGACACTCACACACTAGTAATGTTGTCATCTCACCTAAAACACTCACACACTAGTAATGTTGTCATCTCACCTGTGACACTCACACACTAGTAATGTTGTCATCTCACCTGTGACACTTCACACACTAGTAATGTTGTCATCTCACCTGTGACACTCACACACTAGTAATGTTGTCATCTCACCTAGTGACACTCACACACTAGTAATGTTGTCATCTCACCTGTGACACTCACACACTAGTAATGTTGTCATCTCACCTGTGACACTCACACACTAGTAATGTTGTCATCTCACCTGTGTTGTCACTCACACACTAGTAATGTTGTCATCTCACCTGTGACACTCACACACTAGTAATGTTGTCATCTCACCTGTGACACTCACACACTAGTAATGTTGTCATCTCACCTGTGACACTCACACACTAGTAATGTTGTCATCTCACCTGTGACACTCACACACTAGTAATGTTGTCATCTCACCTGTGACACTCACACACTAGTAATGTTGTCATCTCACCTGTGACACTCACACACTAGTAATGTTGTCATCTCACCTGTGACACTCACACACTAGTAATGTTGTCATCTCACCTGTGACACTCACACACTAGTAATGTTGTCATCTCACCTGTGACACTCACACACTAGTAATGTTGTCATCTCACCTGTGACACTCACACACTAGTAATGTTGTCATCTCACCTGTGACACTCACACACTAGTAATGTTGTCATCTCACCTCACACACTAGTGACACTCACACACTAGTAATGTTGTCATCTCACCTAGTGTCATCTCACCTGTGACACTCACACACTAGTAATGTTGTCATCTCACCTGTGACACTCACACACTAGTAATGTTGTCATCTCACCTGTGACACTCACACACTAGTAATGTTGTCATCTCACCTCTGACACTCACACACTAGTAATGTTGTCATCTCACCTCTGACACTCACACACTAGTAATGTTGTCATCTCACATGTGACACTCACACACTAGTAATGTTGTCATCTCACCTGTGACACTCACACACTAGTAATGTTGTCATCTCATCTCACACTGTGACACTCACACACTAGTAATGTTGTCATCTCACCTGTGACACTCACACACTAGTAATGTTGTCATCTCACCTGACACTGACACTCACACCTGTGACACTAGTAATAGTAATGTTGTCATCTCACCTGTGACACTCACACACTAGTAATGTTGTCATCTCACCTGTGACACTCACACTACTCACACACTAGTAATGTTGTCATCTCACCTCACACACTAGTAATGTTGTCATGTCACCTGTGACACTCACACACTAGTAATGTTGTCATCTCACCTGTGACACTCACACACTAGTAATGTTGTCATAATATCTCACCTGTGACACTCACACACTAGTAATGTTGTCATAATATCTCACATGTGACACTCACACACTAGTAATGTTGTCATCTCACCTGTGACACTCACACACTAGTAATGTTGTCATAATATCTCACCTGTGACACTCACACACTAGTAATGTTGTCATCTCACCTGTGACACTCACACACTAGTAATGTTGTCATCTCACCTGTGACACTCACACACTAGTAATGTTGTGTCATCTCACCTAGTGACACTCACACACTAGTAATGTTGTTGTCATCTCACCTGTGACACTCACACACTAGTAATGTTGTCATCTCACCTGTGACACTCACACACTAGTAATGTTGTCATCTCACCTGTGACACTCACACACTAGTAATGTTGTCATCTCACCTGTGACACTCACACACTAGTAATGTTGTCATCTCACCTCTCACCTTGTCATCTCACCTGTGACACAAACTAGTAATGTTCTAATTTAACCTCACCTATGACACTCATATACAGGT